CTCGACTGAACAATAAAAGGAAATCAGGTTTATTTTTCAGTCAACCCAGTAAAACCACTTCCATAGTGGAAACCCATCCAGATCCCTGTCCTTTATTAGATCCAAAACAGTTCTTGTTCCAAAGGTGCATTTAGTATTTTCTCAGATTATTGTGTGATAATAAAATGTATTCAAAGATCTGAAACCTCTGAGTGTGAGAAAAAACTGAAACGGATCAAAGTGGACATTTTAAGAGCAGCGTAAACAAGAATCTGAGGGTTTTAACCAGCTGGGAAGCCGTCATAGATTAGATTTGCTGTTACTGATGAACTGTTTCTCCTCAGTTCTTATCCAGCGCAAACAGAACGGAGCACGCGGCGCGGTCAGGTCAGCCGCTCAGGCTAATGCTGTATTGAGCTGTGGACAGGCTGGGGGTCAGAGGCCCCGGTGCTCCAGCTGCTCTGCACCTGAGGTCCCGCAGAGATGAGGAGCATGGGGGGGCACTTTACTACCGAGAAGTGCATTCATTCATCATTAACTCATTTATCGAGTCCCCTCAATTACTTTCACTCAAAGAGACTAAGTGTTCAGACTTTGTTCATTATGTAATTACAACATCATCCATTCTAAGTAATGTTTTCTGTCATCTCCGTCATTCTGCCTCTCTGGATGATGCAAACCAACACATTATTGTTATGCTGCAGACAAACGCTATAGGAAGGCTTGTTTTTTATTGAAGGTAAAAAGCAAACCTTTTAGAAATGATAAAATTGGCACGCTACCCCAAAATAATAATAAGACCAGACCAACAGAAAGCAGCCTCATTTATGATGACTCTGCAAATGAAATCATCCCAGAACAATTACCTGCACCTTGATTCAACATTCATGAGATGTTAATGAGCTGAAGGACGTCCATCATGGAAAGCTGCTGTGATCTTTGGGTTTAATTAGGTGATGGAGTCCAGCTGCTGAGCTCTGGACTTCAGTACAGCTTCATCCTGTGTTTGCTTTACCTCACAGGAATCCAACCATAGAAGAACATCTTTCTCAACATATTTTTATACCACAACCAAATGGAACAAAAAAACTGTTCTAACTACAGAAACAGAGCGGAGTCCTTCAGTATAACACTAACTTAGAGACCCCCCACCCCCGCTGACACACATACACTGTTTTCAGAGGCAGCCAGCTTGACGTGTCTTTGGCCCTGAACCCAGAGGGCCTACCTGGACGTTTAGCTTGGAGCGGCTGGAGATCAGATGTTTCTGCTCACACAGCACCTCTCATTACGTCTCCTGTCTCATCCAAACAAACATAATGAGACAGTGTTTAATGCCCAGAGACCCCCCCCCACATCTGATCCGCGTGTGTTAAGGCTGCACCACCCAAATTACCCTGACGTCTCGTTCACTTATGGCACCTGGGCCCCAATGTGTCTCATGGGGGTGGGGTCTATCAAGATAGTGGGATGGGGGGGGGGTCCAGCTGGATGAAGTCAAAGAGCTACATACTGATTGGCATTGCTAGGATGAGAGAGGCGTTTGAATTCTGGCATCCGGAGAGTCGGCGGGGGTCCAGTGGGGGTTCCTTTGTTGGAGGATGTGGGGGAATCCAACATAAGAGCTCTGTGGAAGATCCCAGAACCGCCACGAGTAGGGGGGCAGCAGTTTTCCCAGCAGCCAAAGGGTTACTGGTTCAAGCCCCAGCTCTGGCTTTCCATGTCATTTTGTCCTTGGGCAAGACGCTTCACTTGTATTGGTGGTGCCTGTTTAAAGCAGCCTGGCTACAATGGAGCTCACCACCATCAGTGTGTGAGATAATGACTGAATGTAGAGGAAAGCTTTGGTCACTTCCCCTGACTTCACCAAAATGCTTGGTTTTTGTGCTCAGAGGGTGAACAAAGCATCAACAACATTAAGTCAGTTAGCACATCCTGGTAAAGTGTGAAAATAATGAAGAAAGGTTCAAGAACCAGTGTGAAAATAATGCAAAAAATATTCGATCCCAAGAGAGATGAGAGTGGAACAGCTCTGGGAATCTTGGCTGAACGCTGGTGTTCATTGAGCCGCGGGAGCTTAAGGTGCTACGGCTCAGTGAGAACTCATCGGAACTGGAACGGCTTGTTTAATGGAGAGAAATTTGGCAACAACAGAGGCTCCAAATGGTGAACATTTGGTAGAACCAGTTTTAGTCTGTGAGGCCTGTCTACTTTTAAGGCTAGGCTTAAAACTTTCCTTTTTGATAAAGCTTCTAGTTAGAGTGGCTCAGGTTATCCTGAGCTATCTCTATAGTTCTGCTGCTATAGGCTTAGACTGCTGGAGGACATAGGGACCCCTTTTTCATCATTCTGCTTCATTCTATCTCTATTCTCCCACTCTGCAGAATCTGTTAGTTCAATCTCTATCGTTCTGCTCTCTCTGCTTTTTCTCATAGTAGCTTCATCTGGTCTGTTCCTGTTTGGCTGTGACTCCATCCTGGAGAGAAATATCAGCTGTGCTGCTGCCATCAACACCTTTGTTTCTAGATTTTGCAGCTTGGCCTGTTTTCCAGTGTAGTCCTGTTTCTCTGACTGTGACTAACTGGATGTGCTCTCTTCATCCTCTGACATGGGAGCTGGCTCGGAGCTCGTCTCCCTGGCTGTGTGTTTCCTGGACGGGGCCGCCTGTGGAGCTGGTTGACAGTTGCCTTTTGCATCTCGGCTTCTTTCATCCAGCCAGATTGGCTTAAAGTTTCCTATATAAGCAAAACCAGTTAGTTGCATCGACTCAATGACTCTTCTTCGGCAATCCCTCTCACTAAGCATGCATGTAGTGACAGTGGAAAGGAAAAACTCCCTTTTAACAGGAAGAAACCTCCAGCAGAACCAGGCTCAGTGTGAGCGGCCATCTGCTGAGGCTGACTGGGGTTCAAGGAGACAGAAACAGACATAGAAAAAGAAGCAGTCTTAAGTTACTCTCTGTTGGCCCCTTGTGCCTGTCTTCTTTCCCCTAGCTCCCTTCTAGTCTCTTCCATCCACGCCTGCTCCATGGCAGCTGATTACCCCAGTCTTTGTTCTGTCTACCATATATACTCTCCCTGTGCAGTTCCTCAGTGCTGGTTCCTTGTTGTTTTATTGCATCCTCGTCTCTGGCTCCCCACATGACTTTTTCCGGATGTTTGCTGGTTTTTGTTTAGTGTTTTTTTTTTTTTTTATGTTTGCCTCAGTTTCTCTTTATTAAACCTACAAGAAGTCCTCTCTGCATTTGGGTCCTCAAGCAACCTCAGCCCCCACGTTGACAATCCCATTATATATTAGCTCCATATGTTTTTTGCAATAGGTAAAAGCAGTATGTTCATCTTAGTATTTGCAGTCTGAAAGCATTCCAGATTTGTAGGTTGGGGTTGGAGAGAGAGAAATGTAGGCCGTTTTTATATGCCAGATGGATAACTTTAAACCTGAACAGAGGTGACCTGCAGGCGGATGCATTTGGTAGCCTCTGATGACTAAAAATATCAATTAAAACTTGATAGGCTGCAGTTTGACTTGATATTCATCACGGCACATCAGATGTGTAACGTAATGAGTCCAAATTCAGAGATGCATAGCTGGAAGCACTTGAGGCAATTCCTGGCTCTGTCATTAATACTGAGGATCACGGCAAATAGATGCGGCTCGATCAAAGATGAGCACAAAGACAGAAATAAATCCATCACCTGGGTGACGGGGAGGATTCGCCGAATAGCCTGGAGGAACAAAGAAGCTGATTGGTACTTTCTCAGAAACAGAAATGGAGTCTTGTTTGTTTGTTTTACGTGTTTCTCCAGTGTTTCCCAGGTTGGTGACTTTGCAGTCAGAGACCTTTTTACTGCTTAAGGAAAACAGAAAATAGCTCCCAGAAATCTACCACTGGCAGGCCCCAGAAGTCAGCCTGAAAGGCCCATCAAACAGTGAAATGTTAGCTATTGCTTACAGGATGAAAAAACAATCATCGGTCTGATAATAAGCCATGGGATTATGGTCACAGTCATTCTCTAATTGGCACAAAAGCTTAAGCCAACCTTCAAATTCCTAAGGCGTCAGCAAAGAGGCTGTGAAAGGTGACGCATGTGTCCTGAACATGTGCAAATATCATCTCATTAACTTTAAGTTATGTCTGCACATGTCCAAAGAATATAATGGCCTCTCCTTGGTGCTACATAGATCAACATGGCTGCTTGCTATTCTGTCTCACTGCTTTCAGGAATGTGGATGCAAATGAGGCCGTGGAAGGTGTGACCTTTCTCCATGCTAAAGGAGTCACTTCTTTTACAGAGAATCCACAAAGATTTTACAACATTTCATATTTTGCACATTGTGTTACATGACAGCCTTCTTTGAAAATGAATGTAAACATCTTCCCCTTTACCCTGCCACTGTCCCAGCTCACTGCATCACAGTTTAGAAAGGCACCATAGGCCCTCCTTTAGCCCAAACAAGGGAGGGGAGGGGGGGGGGGTTCAATGTTTAATTGACAATAAACCTACATCATAAGTAAATATGAAACTCAGACCGTTTCTCAGTATGCATACTTGTGCGTGCTAGTGTGCTCATGAAATGCTATTGTTGGGATCTGGAGGTCTGTCCACTTTCTCCACCAGAGGGTGTACGAGATCTCCTGGAGCCGGAGCTGATTGCACCACCTGTTCCTCGTCTGCTCATCAGGAGATCCGTACTTATGGAGGCGGAAGGCTTCACTCCAGTGCCAGAGTGTTTGCCAGTAACGGTTAGCAAGCCTGAGCCAACCTGCCAGTCTGTAACTCTGACCCCCTGTGAATCGAACCTGACCTGTTTTCTCTCCTCTGTGCTTCTCAGATTGAACCAGCCTGAAGCCTGAAACCCTGTAGAGTTTCTCTGCCGGTAATCTGCCTCTCCGTTCTCAGAAGAACTCTGGAGAACAGTTCCTGTCAAAGATCTGCCTGCCCGCTCTCAGAAGATTACTGGAAACTCAGTCTGTGATCTGCCTGCACTCTGTAGGCTCTGCCTCCGCCTCTGCCTGCCGTCAGCCTCTGGACCCTCAAGGTTCCCCCCCCTCTGCAGCTCTGTTCCACTCAAGAACAGGTACAGATCTGACAGACTCTCAACCTGCAATATTCCCTGGACCTCCGCTAAACTTCTCTGTCCTCCTTCTGCAGTGAACCCACTTGTGACCAGTCAAACCACTTCCTGGATCTGAATAACCTGTGTGCTTTACAGAACTCTCTCGTGACCAGTCAAGCCTCTAACTGAACCTGATCCATTGTAGCACATTTATTGTTCAATAAACTTTTTGAACTTTTCTTCTGCCTCCGAGTGTTCTGCATGTGGGTTAGGCAAATTAAGCCGAACATGACAGCTATGAGCCCTAGCATTGTTCCAATTCACAAGAACACCAAGAAAGGATAAAGTCCCCTGAGTCCCCCTGAAGTCCGCATCGACCGCTCTCGCTTATAAGGCCTGACGAGATTTAGGGGCGCCATCTTGTTGACCAGCACAGAATCAATTTTAGTCAACTATAATTCGCCGAATATTGAACTAATTTTCACATTGTTTTTTTCTGAAAATTTTAAAACTATAGCTATTATACGAAATGGTTCAGTGCATTTAAATATTCTTAATGTGGTTAAGGATGTATGTATGTTGCAAATAATAGCCACTCATACATTTTTATATTTTTTTTACTACCATATAATAATACACACATACACACACACACACACATATATATAAACACTACTATTCAAAAGTTTGGGGTCACATTGAAATGTCCTTATTTTTGAAGGAAAAGCACTGTACTTTTCAATGAAGATAACTTTAAACTAGTCTTAATTTAAATGAAATACACTCTATACATTGCTAATGTGGTAAATGACTATTCTAGCTGCAAATTTCTGGTTTTTGGTGCAATATCTGTATAGAGACCTATTTCCAGCAACTATCACTCCAGTGTTCTAATGTTACAATGTGTTTGCTCATTGGCTCAGAAGGCCAATTGATGATTAGAAAACCATTGTGCAATCATGTTCACACATCTGAAAACAGTTCAGCTCGTTACAGAAGCTACAAAACTGATCTTCCTTTGAGCAGATTGAGTTTCTGGAGCATCACATTTGTGGGGTCAATTAAACGCTCAAAATGGCCAGAAAAAGAGAACTTTCATCTGAAACTCGACAGTCTATTCTTGTTCTTAGAAATGAAGGCTATTCCATGCGAGAAATTGCTAAGAAATTGAAGATTTCCTACAACGGTGTGTGATACTCCCTTCAGAGGACAGCACAAACAGGCTCTAACCAGAGTAGGAAAAGAAGTGGGAGGCCGTGTTGCACAACTGAGCAAGAAGATAAGTACATTAGAGTCTCTAGTTTTAGAAACAGACGCCTCACAGGTCCCCAACTGGCATCTTCATTAAATAGTACCCGCAAAACACCAGTGTCAACATCTACAGTGAAGAGGCAGCTGCGGGATTCTGGGCCTCAGGGCAGAGTGGCAAAGAAAAAGCCATATCTGAGACTGGCCAATAAAAGAAAAAGATTAAGATGGGCAAAAGAACACAGACATTGGACAGAGGAAGACTGGAATAAAGTGTTGTGGACGGAAGAATCCAAGTTTGAGGTGTTTGGATCACAAAGAAGAACGTTTGTGAGACGCAGAACACATGAAAAGATGCTGGAAGAATGCCTGACGCCATCTGTTAAGCATGGTGGAGGTGATGTGATGGTCTGGGGTTGCTTTGGTGCTGGTAAGGTGGGAGATTTGTACAGGGTAAAAGGGATTCTGAATAAGGAAGGCTATCACTCCATTTTGCAACGCCATGCCATACCCAGGGGACAGCGCTTGATTGGAGCCAATTTCATCCTACAGCAGGACAATGACCCTAAACACACCTCCAAATTGTGCAAGAACTATTTAGAGCAGAAGCAGGCAGCTGGTATTCTATCGGTAATGGAGTGGCCAGCGCAGTCACCAGATCTGAACCCCATTGAGCTGCTGTGGGAGCAGCTTGACCGTATGGGACGCAAGAAGTGCCCATCCAACCAATCCAACTTGTGGGAGCTGCTTCTGGAAGTGTGGGGTGCAATTTCTCCAGATTACCTCAACAAATTAACAGCTAGAATGCCAAAGGTCTGCAATGCTGGAATTGCTGCAAATGGAGGATTCTTTGACGAAAGCAAAGTTTGATGTAAAAAAAAATCTTTTTTTTAAATACAAATCATTATTTCTAACCTTGTCAATGTCTTGTTTCCATTTTCTATTTATTTCACAACGTATGGTGGTGAATAAGTGTGAATTTTCAGGAAAACACTAAATTGTTTGGGTGACCCCAAACCTTTGTGTATATATATGGGTGATTCTTTAACTACGGGCAAATTTATGTCCTCCATTTAAAAAGGGACATTTCACACCTATATAGTTATCTTTATAATTAATCTGTTTTAGGACATTTGTTTTAGTAGTCTGTGATGACTTATTCACCTTTTTTTCACCGTCATGTATATGTAAATATTAACGTTTTGTTCTTGTCCCACACCCAGACTTTTGATCTTCAGTGATAAAAATGAATAGTAAAAAAAACATTTTTTCTAATGTTTTAAAATATCATTGAATAAAATATCAGTAAAATAATCAAACTATAATTGGAGAGTATTTAATGTCATACACCCGTTTATGTGATTTTCTAAACCAATTGTAGTTGTCCCAAACTATTGTCGTAATTTCCACCACAACACTGTAATGTCCCTTTAAAAAGTTTCTAGGAAAGATTGTTTGGGTAGTTGCCATGGAGACCAACAGTGACATCACAGCACAAGTCTGACATGGTGGAAATTATGACTTCATCCATCAACTTTTGAAGTAAAGCCAAGGTAAATATGGCTTGAAGTGAAAATATTTTCATGGTATGTAATTTCCAAACATGCCATAACATCAACTCAGTTTGTAAATTAATTGTTATTTTAACACACATAGAAGTATTTTGTAAGCATAAAATGCTAGAGACCCTTTCTTAGCTAGTATGTGATGCTAGCATAGATTTTCCTGCCAATTTCTGTCAGATTGTAATTTCCGCCACAGTAATTTCCACCACATTTGGTTGAAATTACAATGGCGTGGTGGAAATTGGCCGTGATTCATAGATACACATACAAGGCCCTTGCTCCCTCACATTTTATTTATCTAATTTTATTATTACAACAATGTTGTTATATTATAAAATAACATTCTTTTAGACAACTTTTGACATGTTTCTAACTATAATTAACAATCTAAGCATTTTGCGGTGGTGCCAACCCCTCTCTCTCTCACCCTTAGTACCACCTATGCACAACTGCAATTAATTTATTATAATTTAATAATGTATTTATTTATCATTATTATTTATTATTATGCTCCATAAAGTTTTTAAAAAGAAAGCTTTGTTGTCTATATGGTCCATTCATTGTAATTTCCACCACACCATTTGTTTTTAAATAAATTGTTGCAAAATTCTAATCACTGATTAAAACCTTCTTCACAACTTAAGAGATAATGTTCCACTTTAATTAAAAACATAAGTATTTACACCTTGAAATGTATCTTGCGATTCCAACACTATATCTTAGGTTATGGCGAACATAAGATTCGCATCTTGTCCTCATCACAATTAATTTACTGATCTATAAATGTATGTGTTTAACAATAAAGGCATAAACAGTTAAAACTATATATGGAATTGTTCTTCCAGTAAAAAAACATGATGTGTATCATAGTATTTTAGAATAAATGAAAAATATTTATATGTATCTGTATATATATGTGTGTATGTATATACACCTCTCTAATATTAGCTAAAAGCCCTGAAAAAGGACTGTTTTGCAGAGCTTTTTTCTTGTGTTCCCCTTCTGGAGTTCAAGGGTGGTGACTTTGGCATCCTTCGTCTGAACAGCTTAAACCAGCAGGATGCCCATATCTATATATATATATCTATATATATATATCTATATATATATATATATAGATATATATATATATATATAGATATATATATATATATATCTATATATATATATATATCTATATATATATATATAGATATATATATATATATATATATATATACACACACACACATTTGATTGTTTGTATTCATCTGTAGACTTTACTGGAGGTGTACTTTGTAGACAGAGAGAGAGTAACTGTATCCCCTTTTTATTTTCATCATCCAGATCCAAAGACCAGAACTCCTACAGCTAAACCTGGTGTTAGGGTTAATAATAATGACCCCTTATTGTCCTAAAAATGAAACCGACACAAAACAAGTGACTTTTCTGAAGAAAAGGAAAGCAAAAAGAGACCCACTGAGAAGCCTGTGGTCAACTCTGCCGGGACCTCTCTTTCTGCTGTTTTTATTATCGGGCTTCAAAGGAGTAACAGGAGGGGTCAGAAGTTATCAGTCACCTATGGCAGCATAGCTGGATAAGACCAGGCCCTGAGAGAAATATTTGCTCTCCCCATTTGAAGTTAAAACAACATTTAACATTCCTAGCAGTCCAGATGCCTTTAACTTAGTACAAATAAAATGATGACATTTACATTTTTCTAACACCCCGTCGATAGAAGGACAGGGCACATTCATCTATTCCAGCAGCCTTCAAAATATAAGACAGACTCACAGGAACAACATATTGCTCTTTGGATTGGGCGGACTGGTCTACCTGATTGCACAGTTGAGAATGAAGATTTTTCTATATTTCTATTTCTATAGCGCCAACTCACAACATGTCATCTCAGGTCACTTTCCAGTTCACCAGATCATCCAGTCAGATTGATTCAAAGTTTCTATCTAAGGAAAACCAGCTGATTGCATCGACTCATTGACTCTTCAGCAATCCCTCACACTAAGCATGCTGGTAGCGACAGTGGAGAGGAAAAACTCCCTTTGAACAGGAAGAAACCTCCAGCAGAACCAGGCTCAGTGTGAGCGGCCATCTGCTGAGGCCCACTGGGGTTTAAGAAGACAGAAGCAGACATAGAAAAAGAAGCATAGATATAAAAGGCAACTGTCAACCAGCTCCACAGGCGGCCCCGTCCAGGAAACACACAGCCAGGCAGACGAGCTCCGAGCCAGCTCCCATGTCAGAGGATGAAGAGAGCACATCCAGTTAGTCACAGTCAGAGAAACAGGACTACACTGGAAAACAGGCCAAGCTCCAGCATCTAGAAACAAAGGTGTTGATGGCAGCAGCACAGCTAATATTTCTCTCCAGGATGAAGTCACAGCCAAACAGGAACAGACCAGATGAAGCTACTATGAGAAAAAGCAGAG